TGTGTTCCGGACAGGTATCCTGGTCAAGGTCAAGGTGTTCTTATGAACAAGAGCCACTCCACCCTCCCCGCCCACTTCCCCTCACCTGCTCACTGACAGAGTACCCGGCTGGGAGGGCCTGCACCCATATAGCAGCGCTATCCTCCCCCAGCCAGGTCTCTATGAAGCAAGCCAGGTCGGCATCCTCATCCAAGAGAAGATCCTGGATGATATGGGTCTTATTTTTCACCGACCTGGCATTGCAAAGAAGGTGAGGTTCTGTGGAATGGTTGGTCTGCTCTCCATATCTTGCCAAAGTAAATGAGATAGTGGCAGATCTGTATGACTGGACTTGGATCACAAACAATCATTTTTAAAAGTGAGATGTGAATGTCCAATTTAAGGAGCAAGAATTGTGTGAGGGTGAACTGTTCTGTAACCTCCATCTTCTTACATTAAGGACAGGATACTTTTTTTTAACATGGATACAAATTCTAATTTGAGAAAGATCTTGAGAACTACATTCCATCAATGGGTGGAACAAAGGGAGCCAAGGGTAGAGTGGGTGTGGCTAAAACATAGTGAATGAGATCAGGGGACCTTTCACAGTGCACAATTGTAACACTATTATTCCACTGTAACTGTCATAGGGGCATCCTGTATTAAGCCCCAGAGGTAATTCTTAGCAATTTGGACATACCCCCAAGCACATAAATCAAAGCTCAGTTGTATGTATGTCTGATCAGGAATAAGTCCCAGTGCAACAATCTGACAGCCTGCAAAGCACACGTTTGAAAGGTAGTGTAAATAATTTTAGATACCCTTTCATGTCTGCTGACTGATCAGAGGTAACAGCAGCAGTTTGTAGGCTAAAGGAGGAAATCCCATGGAGCAGATGCTCACCATCTCTGTCCTACAGAATACATCCCCAGACTCTCCCTCCACAAACATATTTCTCTCAGCTGGATTTACTTCTGTCATGAGCTGCTCAGCTGCATAAAAAAATGCCTGGATGGAAAAAGGGACTACGAGGAGGTAAGTGGTAAACAAAAAGATTTCTTGGTTCTCAGCCCAACTTCCCTTCTGGTTCTTAAACTGAATCCTGTCCCCTTGTCTTCCATATGAATGTAGTTAGTGCTTTGCTGAAAATTTCTTCCACATTTTTGGCCATTCTTATCCAGTGTAATAGAAAAGGAATACTTTTTGAAATGAATTTCAAAGGAATGAAAATTTTAGAGAAATTGTCATGAGTGAATACCAGAATTCTTGTGCTTGGGATAGCTGAACAGTATGTGTGAATGCCACCTCTTTCATTGTACAATCATCTCTCTTCGGCACAGTTCATTGAAAGCTTAGGAAGTGATGTAAGTAAACATTTTCCACAGAGATGTTTTTCAGATCTGGAAGATGCCACTGCTAAGATGATCCAGGGACTAACTCACAGTTAAACAATTACATTTCTTTAAACATGCTACTATGTGTTCCAGCAAGTTGAAAACATCATGTGCTGTGTTTTTCCCCATTTTCAAAAGTTTGAAAAAACACTATGTCAAAAGGGATGTCAAGACAGCAGTTTCCGGATTCCTTCTATACCTAGATGCTCTAAGCTCATAGAACTAAAGTGCCACAGTTATTCCTACTTCCTGCCCTACACAGAAAACCAACACTGCTCCCTAGAGTTGAGAACTTTGGGGGCTGGTTCTCAAAGGAGCTGTACACAACAAAAACAATAATACAACCAGAGGCAAAAATGGGATACGTTTATTAATTTTGCCTTGCTCTTTTCTTTAAATTTTCTGTTTGGCATTGCAAGTGTTCTTGACTGGCAAAGGTTGAGATTTTTTAAAAATAGTTTACATGAATTAAGACTCGTGTCATCTCTCAACATTAAATTCCTTTGGTGAGCCAGCTTGAAGTATGACAACCCCAACTAAAAGGCTGTGTGCATCTACACTGTAGAAATAATGCAGTTTGACACCACTTTAACTGCCATGGCTCCATCCTATAGAATCCTGGGATTTGTAGTTTTGTGAGGCACCAGCACGCTTTGGCAGAGAAGGCTAAAGACCTTGTAAAACTATCAGTCTCAGGATTCTATAGGATGGCATTACAACACTTAAAGTGGTGTCAAACTGCATTATTTCTACAGTGCATGTGCGCCCTCAGAGCCACTTGTTCTTTTTCATTATTCCTCTAAATTCTATTTGATTATTTCAGGGGCTAAGCAGATGGGCGGCACAGGGCTGCCCCGGGAAGCTGCGGATAGGGCCCGAGGCATCCGCATTCCTCAGCCCCGTGGCGCAGCTTCACCAACTCAGGAAGGAGCACTAAAATAGCGCTGCTTCCACAAATCGCCAAAGGTGTGCTACAAAAGGCTGCTGACACACCTTTGGCGCCTCTTCCGCTGCAGCGTGTGCGGATGCTGCAGCGGAAAGGCATTGTCGGAGTGCCAGCCATGTGGAGGGCTGGCTGCTCTGACGATGTCTTCAGGAAAGGGTTGGGGCATCCAGAGTGCGGCTGCCCCTCCCCTTCCTTGTCCTGAAGACAGCGCTTTGCACTGTCTGCTTCCCCCCTCAGTTCCTATGTGGAAACTAGGCCATTTAATAGCCCAATGTTGGTTCCATGGCTATGCAAACTCCTTACTGTAATAAAGAGGTTATACAAAGTGTGGCAAAATGGACCCAGGGCATCTGAAGGAGGGTTTGATTGCACTAGCCTAGGAGACAGCTTAATTAACTGGATAACTATGATGGCTTCACCTGTAATTTAGGCTGGGATTCATCTGGCATGCCTGAGTGGCCTTGTAAATGAGCTGCTACTGAAAAATCAGTCCTGCGGGCTCAGCTTGCTAACTTCCTCCCCATAGTTCTCTTCAGAGGCTGATCATGCAAAATTCGATTTGTGATAGCCTTTGTCTCCTCCATACCAACTTGTTTCAAATCGAGAAAATTTCTGGCTGTCCATTAGAAAAAAATATGAATAATATAGGCCTGTGGGGAAAAAGCCCAGAAAAGAGACTACAGAGGGTTTTAATCTGATCTTTCTACAAGGGATTCTATCTGCACTAAATTAATTGTAATCATTTCACGTTGGAAACAATGGGCAATAGTTCAGTGTTTCAGAAACACCTAAAAACTTGAATTAGTCATGCCCACCTTTATTATTCTACAGTGGTTTCAGTGGGATCCAAGGGCAACTAATGCAGTATGCATCAAGGTCAAAATTTTGGAAAGTATGTGGAGTACTTTTTACATTGTTCCTTTTTTTACTTTGTTCCTTTACTGCCATCAATACTTATTGTTGAATAGCCTTGAGCTATACAATGATTAGAATGAATTACTGAAAATATAAATACAATAATAATTTACAGATGGGGAACTACGGGTGAGACACTGGCTCAGTTCCACTAAAAAGG